TCCACTACGGGCTCACCATAGCCCGTGCTACTTGCCCCGCTCCTGTGCCAGGTAAGTCCACTACGGGCTCACCATAGCCCGTGCTACTTGCCCCGCTCCTGTGCCAGGTAAGTCCACTACGGGCTCACCATAGCCCGTGCTACTTGCCCCGCTCCTGTGCCAGGTAAGTCCACTACGGGCTCACCATAGCCCGTGCTACTTGCCCCGCTCCTGTGCCAGGTAAGTCCACTACGGGCTCACCATAGCCCGTGCTACTTGCCCCGCTCCTGTGCCAGGTAAGTCCACTACGGGCTCACCATAGCCCGTGCTACTTGCCCCGCTCCTGTGCCAGGTAAGTCCACTACGGGATCACCATAGCCCGTGCTACTTGCCCCGCTCCTGTGCCAGGTAAGTCCACTACGGGCTCACCATAGCCCGTGCTACTTGCCCCGCTCCTGTGCCAGGTAAGTCCACTACGGGATCACCATAGCCCGTGCTACTTGCCCCGCTCCTGTGCCAGGTAAGTCCACTACGGGCTCACCATAGCCCGTGCTACTTGCCCCGCTCCTGTGCCAGGTAAGTCCACTACGGGATCACCATAGCCCGTGCTACTTGCCCCGCTCCTGTGCCAGGTAAGTCCACTACGGGCTCACCATAGCCCGTGCTACTTGCCCCGCTCCTGTGCCAGGTAAGTCCACTACGGGCTCACCATAGCCCGTGCTACTTGCCCTCCTCTCTCTCTCCTCTCTCTCTCTCTCTGCTCTGAAAAGAGTTGAAATCGTTGTGTTAAGTGTTCAGATATATATTGGGAAAGACAAAAGCGAATTTAGATTACATTAAATTTAATGAGGAAAAAAACTGGCGTTCACAATATGCTAAACTATACTGAGTAACGATGATGTGCATTATGGAGCATTAGAATAGATTAAAACGTGCTGCGAATGTGAAGAAAAGCATAATCAGTGCATTGGAATACTTTAAAAGGTAGATTGAACTTCATAAAGCTTTATTTAAAGAACGCCATTATTCGCCTGGAGGGCAGGGAATTGTCAGGGGAAGAGTGCCAAGCCATTACGACTATATGGCACTGGGAAGGGGGTCAGGATAATGGTTTGGGATGGGACAGGGAGGGAACGAATGGTACCCAACCGCTTGGACGGTCGGGGATTGAACGCCGACCTGCATGAAGCTCTACCGTCGCTCTACCGTCCAGGGGCCAGATTCACGAAAGCACTTACGCAAATACTTACGAACGTGTACATCTTTCCTCAATCTTTGACGGCTTTGGTTACATTTATTAAACAGTTTACAAGCATGAAAACTTCCCAATCAACTGTTGTTATTGTTATAAACAGCCTCCTGGTGCTTCGGAGCTCGTTACCTGTTTAATAATTGTAAACAAAGCCGCCAAAGATTGAGAAAAGATGTACAGGTTCGTAAGTGCTTGCGTAAGTACTTTCGTGAATCTGGCCCCAGCGCAAGAGGTTGGGCTATTCGCCAGAAGAGATCAGAATCTACGTGAATTCGTTTCCGAGAGTTGATAATTGTTAACAGTTAAAGAGGTGTCGGGACTTTCAGCAACCAGAGGAAGGTAATCGTACTTCTGTCTAAACCGAATTCCCAGCTACGTGAAGACCGTCCGGCTGTGTTGTGTTGCCGGGTATATTGACTCGTCATCGAGAGTTGAACAACACGGATTGAGATTATTTCGTACATTAAACGATTCGTCAGCGGTATTTAGTTTGTCGCAATGTAGCGTATGTGGTGTCAGCTTGTGTTGCTGCGGTGGTGTGTGTTGCTGTGTCAGCTTGTGTTGTTGTGGTGTTGCTGTGTCAGCTTGTGTCGTTGTCGGTTTCTGTGTCATCTTGTTGTGTTGTGTCGTGTTGCTGTCTCAGCTTGTGGCGTCTTGCCCTCTCCTGCCTTAGATACTCCAGCTAGTGAGACTGTTGTCGGGGCTGAGAGTAAACACAGATGGTGTGGTGGTGTCCTCGTGGTGTGGTGGTGTCCTCGTGGTGGTGTCCTCGTGGTGTGGTGGTGTCCTCGTGGTGGTGTTCTCGTGGTGTGGTGGTGTCCTCGTGGTGGTGTCCTCGTGGTGTGGTGGTGCCCTCGTGGTGTGGTGGTGTTTAACAGTTACAAAATACAGGGAGGAAGATGACTAGTATTTCAACACGTACATTTTCAACACGCAAGAATATTCAAGGAATAATTTTCCCGGTTATATCCTGCGCAGACATTTTGTGTCCTCTTGGGACAGGTGGTGATGGGGTCACATGGGACAGGTGGTGTTGGGGTCACATGGGACAGGTGGTGATGGGGTCACATGGGACAGGTGGTGTTGGGGTCACATGGGACAGGTGGTGATGGGGTCACATGGGACAGGTGGTGTTGGGGTCACATGGGACAGGTGGTGTTGGGGTCACATGGGACAGGTGGTGTTGGGGTCACATGGGACAGGTGGTGTTGGGGTCACATGGGACAGGTGGTGTTTGGGGTCACATGGGACAGGTGGTGTTGGGGTCACATGGGACAGGTGGTGATGGGGTCACATGGGACAGGTGGTGTTGGGGTCACATGGGACAGGGAGTGTTGGGATCCCATAAAACAGGAAAGGTTGAGGGCCATTAACCAACTCAACCAGCCACAAGAAAGAACTAACAGTGAAGCCAGGACCCCAACTCTCCTCCAAGCCCTCAACCCCCAGCTCTCCTCCAAGCCCTCAACCCCCAGCTCTCCTCAAGCCCTCAACCCCCAGCTCTCCCCCAAGCCCTCAACCCCCAGCTCTCCCCCAAGCCCTCAACCCCCAGCTCTCCCCCAAGCCCTCAACCCCCAGCTCTCCCCCAAGCCCTCAAACCCCCAGCTCTCTTCCAAGCCCCTCAACCCCCAGATCTCCCCCCCAAGCCCTCACCCCCAGCTCTCTTCCAAGCCCTCAAACCCCCAGCCCTCTCCCCAAGCCCTCAACCCCCAGCTCTCCCCCAAGCCCTCACCCCCCAGCCTCTCCCAAGCCCTCAACCCCAGCTCTCCCCCAAGCCCTCAACCCCCAGCTCTCCCCCCAAGCCCTCAAACCCCCCAGCTCTCCCCCAAGCCCTCAACCAACCCCCAGCTCTCCAAACAAGCCCTCAACACCCAGCTCTCCCCCAAGCCCTCAACCCCAGCTCTCTTCCAAGCCCTCAACCCCCAGCCTCTCCCCAAGCCCTCAACCCCACAGCTCCCCCCCAAGCCCTCAACCCCCAGCTCTCCTCCAGCCCCTCAACCCCACCCCCAGCTCTCCCCAAGCCCTCAACCCCCAGCTCTGCCCCAAGCCTCAACCCCAGCTCAGTTTTCGAGGAAGAAGTGTTCGGTTATGGGAGGTTGTGCGCTGCACTGATGACAGAGGTTGAGGGCTGATGAATGAGAGTCTCGCGTGTGGGAGGATAGAGAGAGAGAGAGAATGAAGGCTGGGGTTAAGAAGGCGCTCGTGTGGTAATCAGAGGTTCAAGCATTGCTAAGCGCCGGTTAAGTCTGAAGTCCCCGGCTACCTACCCATCCGACAAGACCTCTCTAATCCGAACGGCGCGCGAAAACCCGTACAAACCGAACACATTAGGAACTTGGGAATGGAGGGGTGAGATGGCAGGTTGTTGGCGAGGGCTTGGTCTTGGGTGATGGCGAGGGTGGAGCGCTGGAACAAGCGGGACTCGGGACATCTGGCGATTCCTGGCCGCAAATGACAACATGTTTGTGATGATAGTGTGGATAACGCGAAAGAATGATGGATGGGCTAGAGTTCCTGACCCGACCCGTTGGTAAAGTCAGATTACACCTCGCTTGGATGGCCCTCCAGGCGCCGCTGTTGAGCTCTGAGCCGCGTCGCCAGCTCTCCCGTACCGCCAACAGCGGCTTGGATATATTCCGATTCTTTTTTATTTATTTTACTTCATGGAGCCATACTCAGGCGTATTTCTTCTTTGGGAACGCTGTCTATGCTGCCAGCTGTGTTGATACCACCACCATCCCCCATTCCACCACCACCATCCCCCCATATCACCACCATCACCACCATCCCCCCATATCACCACCATCACCACCATCACCACCACCACAACTACCACCCTCACCACTATTGTTTTTTTGTTTAACATGGGTTGATTGCATCAAGTTTAACATGGGTTGATTGCATCAAGTTTAACATGGGTTGATTGCATCAAGTTTAACATGGGTTGATTGCATGATTGCAGAGATTGTGATCTCTGTGTATGGGTTGATTGCATTTATACAGCTACCCAAGACAATATTATTAAGAGTTACATAGCTTGTATTGAGATGTAGGTGTGTAATACTGAAAATGTTCCATCTGGCAGGACGGTTAGTCATGCAGGGGGTGTGTGATCAACAGCCTGCACTGGCAAACTCTGCATGCATGATGAGGATGTCTTCAAAACCACGAGTGAATAAAGTAGTTGCAAAGGTGCTGGCACCTCACACTGGCAGATGTGCAGTGACTGGACATTGTGTAGTGTGTGAGATGATGAACACACTCGACTTGAGAATGGTCCAGGACGGACCGAAACGTCGTCGTCCCTTCAATTTCTAGTGTGTGGTCTGGTGAACATGATGAACAAGTTCACCTTCAACACTCACTGCGGTGGTCAAGTCGTCTTCAGAATAAAAAATTAATTAATTACTGATTACTTACACGACACATTCGAGGGAGGAATGATAGTATGGCAGATAAACGTGTCGTTGGCACCCGTTCATAACTACCTAACTACCGCGCATGCATCAGCGTCTCAGTCCATCTGAAAGGAACTTCTCACCCTTTAAAACTACTCAACTACTTGTTTTGAACCTCCCAACAGCATCTTAGTTCTTTTGAAGGAACTTTGGAACCGAATGAAAGTGGCGGGAAATAGTCCTTTGAACCAGATTCCGTAATCCACTTTTAAAATGTGCATTAATCATTTTCAACAACAGTAAGTGTCAGATAAATAATACTTGGGAGCCAACATACGTGATTTATAGGCCTATATGTGTAATTTATAGGCCTATCATGCCTATAAATTGCCTTCTGCTTGGTCTTGAAGGAAGCTGGCCTCGGGTGAAAGGGGTCTGTGGCGATCTCTGTCAGGAACCCGTAGGTGCAGGACCGGGCCGTCCACCTCCTGGGGCTCGTGCGGCCCCCCAGGCTCTGCTTCAGGAGGCTGGGGTCGTTCTTGCCCTTGATGGGGTGGTTCTTCTCCAGCCCCGTCCACGGCGGTCTCCGGGCTTGGAGTCTCTGTGCCTTCTTTCACCTACTTCGAGGTCAACTCCGGAGCTCACAGTTCCTGCGACGGCGCTGGAACCAATCGTATTGGCGTTTGCCTTTCCATTGGGGACTTTCGACGCTGTGGAAAGAGGGGGGGGGGACCTGCTGCTTGGGTAACAGCTTCTCCCCAGTATCAACCTACGCAGGCTTTGCGCCCTGGTGAGGCTACTCCAGACCAACAATCAGAGCGCAACTTTGTAGTCACCTGAGACTGATGGCTGCCTACTACTACATGCCTTTATACGTGATTTATAAACCTACCGTGTCTTTATAAGTGACATTCAATATAAAGTATTGTACTGGTGTCACTGTGACCAAGTCTTGTCATAAAGGGCTAAAACAATTTATAAATGAGAAAAATTATAAATGATTCGTGTGAGAAACGAATCTCAAAGTGGACACTAACACTTCTAAATATTGATTGAATATTAGGCTAATTTATGGTAGTGAGTAAACTAATGCATTAGCTCGTAAGTTTGACACAGCTGAGTCTTTGTATAGCCTGAGTCTTTGTCACGTGACCTGGCCCTGCTTATGACGTCACTTCCGGGTTTTCGTTGGAATTTTGTACGATAATCACAAAAACACGCCATTAATTAATGCGTAGAAATGTCAAAACCTAGAATAATTGAACACAAATATGGACAAGAAAGGTGTGTGTGTGAGTGAACATGTGAGTGAAGAATTCACAGTCTCCGTGGTGTAGTGGTAGGACACTCGCCTGGCGTTACGCGAGCGCTATGTCATGGGTTCGTATCCTGGCCGGGGAGGATTTACTGGGCGCAATTCCTTAACTGTAGCCTCTGTTTAACGCAACATTCAAATGTGTACTTGGATGAAAAAACGATTCATCGCGGCGGGGATCGTATTCCAGGGACCTGCCCGAAACGCTACGCATACTAGTGGCTGTACAAGAATGTAACAACTCTTGTATATATCTCAAAAAAAAAAAAAAAAAAAAAAAAGAGGTCATTCAGTACACCGGCAGAACCATTGGGTATGCCCAAACGTATCATTTTAAACGAACAATAATAGACTCCATATACATCAGCAGTGGTGGCAACTTGAGTGTCTGCCAAGGTCAGGTCTTGGGAGCAGTTATGCCTTGTGAAGGCTCAAGAGGAGAGGGCGTCGACCTCACCAAGTATCTTGACTGTTTCCTTCACCGACATATTCAAGTTTTTCTTCTCTGTAACTTTGGTTCCTGGTCATATACGAGGCGGTGAGGGCAGGTGGCGGCGAGACACACGGATGGTGATGATGGACAATGAGAGTAAGCGAGCGTGTGAGGCGATGAGTGACATGGTGGGAGTGACAGCGTGAGGGCTTGTGAGGACACTCACCGGAAGGTGTCCCCGCCGCCACGGGTTCGTAATCACCACCAGCGTCGCCGCCGCCGCACGCCAACACCCGCTCCATCTTCATTTGCTTACGACAAGAAGAGTAATAGAATCCCTGCAGCGTGTGACACTGTACGGAGGCCCCAGCCTGCTCCGGGGGTGGCGGAGGAGGGGGGGGGACATGGAGGTAAAGGAAGCCTTGACAATCTATCCCAAGGTTATCAATCGGGGACACTAACGTCTTGTGGCACCGGTGATGCTATTGATCTCATCCGGCCACCAAGATTAGAACAGAACAGCAAAAGGCTCTCTCACAATCCTTCACTTCTCCCGGCTTACAGCATCTCAACCCCAAAACTGATCACTGTACATTGGGCCACATGACGTGACTGTTGCTACAAGTACTGTGCAACTCTTACTAATAATGCAACCTGTGCGACGCTCACTTCTGCTGCCACTAACACTTGTCAGTGTGCCTGTGCACGCGGGTCCTTACATCCCAGAAGCCAGGGACACCAGCACAACTCCTGCCAGTGTCGTATGGCCAAGAGGTAGACGCCAGACTTGGCCACACAGCTGGGCCGTGCTCACCTGCATCCCAAGAACATACATCTTCCTCCAGAGGAGAGCTGTACCCCTCAGAGGAGAGCTGTACCCCTCAGAGGAGAGCTGTACCCCTCAGAGGAGAGCTGTACCCCTCAGAGGAGAGCTGTACCCCTCAGAGGAGAGCTGTACCCCTCAGAGGAGAGCTGTACCCCTCAGAGGAGAGCTGTACCCCTCAGAGGAGAGCTGTACCCCTCAGAAGAGAGCTGTACCCCTCAGAGGAGAGCTGTACCCCTCAGAGGAGAGATATACTCTCCAAGAGGACAGGTAATATTATTAATCAAAATAATCTCTTCTTCCCGGGAAAAGAGATGTATTTAGCCGACAATAGCTGGCTGAAAATTAGACACCGACCGACACATCTGAAAACAGTGGAAGTGACGACGTTTCGGTTCGTCTTGGACCGTTATCAGTTCTGGACCTTTACACACCTTCATTCAGTCGTTTCCAACTGGATATGTAGTGGCAGCGCTCTCAATGGTCCATCCATTGAGACTAATCGGTCCAGCGACGGCCTCGCTTCTTGCAAGGTCGGCGTTGGAAGGTCACTCGTATCCCTTTCAAGCACTATATAGCACTTGAACAGCATTAGCTTAGTGCTATTTCCTGGTAATTGCCTAATTGTGCTTTCGACAAATGAAGGCGGTGTGCTCCAGTAATCTATGAACCTGCAGGCGAGGAAGTTCCTTACTTCATTTCTTTCCCTTCGTTTCATACCGTAGTTTCTCGTTGTCGAAGCAACCTGCACCTCTCGTAACTCTTGAGTGTTTCAGAGTATCATATTTCTCTAGTAACTTTTAAGTTCTGGATCATGTCTCCTCATTGGCCGCACTTCAAGGAAACAAGTTTAGTTATTGTGGAGTGTTGCAAGAGTGGGTTGACTAGAAACTCCCTTATACTCCTCTTCACCCACCCCCTACTCCCTCCTCCTTCTCCACCTTCTACCACTTCCTCCATCCTACCTCCTCCTCCACTTCCTCCATCCTACCTCCTCCTCCACTTCCTCCATCCTACCTCCTCCTACCTCCTCCTTCACTTCCTCCATCCTACCTCCTCCTCCACTTCCTCTATCTTTCCCCCCTCTTCCATATTCGTCCTCCTTAGCATCTTCCTTTCCACCACCTCCTGTAGTCGTTTCAG